CCCTCCCCCCTTACGCCACCCCTGGTTGCAGGTTCCATTCTCGAACTGTTCAACACATTTTCACTGCACAAATGTACAAATCTCTTGTAATGAGACACATTAGTAAAACATGTTTTCACAAAAACTATAGCTTTCCACCAAAATCAAAGATTAACTGGTTTCAGTTATAAAAGTACAAGGGTTTCTCTTGCAAGTGCAGTGCAAAATATGCATATTATTTTACAAAAACCTTTAAAGGTGGGGTAAGCGATTTTTCAAAAACGCTTTAGAAAACCGATTCGGGCCGACCAGAAAAACAAACTTGTAGCCAATCAGCAGTAAGGGGCGTGTCTACTCATGATGAGCCTACGGCGTAGGTCCGACGCAGAAGTATAAATCAGCCTTAAGGTTGTTCTGTAGACGTTGGATTAACGTTGAATTAGGTGTTGATTTTGCAAATTGGATCAACGTTGATATTGTGACGTCGTTTCACCGTTGAAATTGCGATGCTGTTTCACTGTCTTACCTTCATCATGGGTGAATTATGGTCATTCTGTAGACGTTGGATTAACGTTGAATTAGGTGTTGATTTTGCAAAGTGAATCAACCTTGATAACGCAACGTTGTTTCACCGTCGTACCTTTCAACATGGGTGAATACACAACTGTACGTTCAATTAGAGCCTAGTTTGCATTTAGATCAACACTGTACATTATAAAGGTTAAAAATCAAATGACTGGCAGCAATGGCTTTACAATCAACTTCAATAAACTACCACATCAAAATTGTAAAACAGCAGTTTTATTTTGAAAACATACTGTATAAAACAGATGAAAATAATCCAAAACTTTAGCTTGCAGTGTTTGTGCATGGATGTATTGTTAAAAACCCTAAAATGTTAGAACCCAACAGCCTTGTGCATATAGCGTGGTTGTGCTTCGGGTGATCCTTGAAAGTGTCCCAGCTCTAGGTCCTTTCTGACGCCATCCCCTTCTCTCTCTCCCACTTGTGCGCTTTCTGTACGGTCCTGTATAAATAAAAACAAAAACACCAAAAATAAATCCCCATAAAATATCAACTTTGATACTGTGAAATATCTTTAACTGAAAACTGAATGCAAAACAAATCACATACAATATTTTCACTTTACAGTTCAATAACAGTGGGGTTGGAAACAAAGTGCACAACACTATTCATTAAACACTTATTTAATGTATTTAGATGAAAGTTTACAATATTACCAAATTATTCACAAGCAGTTTTTTCAGAGCCCCCAGTTACACTATTTTAATCAGAATCCTAACTACACAGTGTATTTAGTAAAACAAGTCAAATGAAATTAAGTACATTTTTATTACAAATAAAAATAAAAACATTTTTATTACCAGTGACAGTGCAATGTAGCAGATGAACGATTCCTTACCAATTTGCCAATAATAAGCGGGATCTTTGATGACTCTACAAGGGGAAAGAAGAAATGGTTTACTGAAAAGTTCTTAAAAAGCAGGATTTCATTTTACACCATTTCTTTAAACCAGTGGTTCTCAAACTTTTTGTACCAAGTACCACTTCAGAAAATATTTGGCTCTCTAAGTACCACCATAATGACCAACATTACATTTCAGCAGCGTAGAAGGCCTAACTATTCAGCTACAGCTCTGCACAGTTAAAAAATGAGGCAGTTTTATTCCTAATAAGAATATTTATTGTTGTCAGCCACTTTAACATTGTAAATACACAGTTTGAACATTAACACTGCACTGTGCTTACATACAGGTAAATGAAAAACTTAAATAATGATTAAATTAAAATGTGTTATAACAAAAGTTGCATAACTGTACTGTACTTAAATGTAAAAAAAAAAAACTTTACTCAGATAAAGATTCAATTAAAATGTATTAACATTCATTTATATTTAATTTAGTGATTCCTCTGCGTACCACTAGAGGGAGCCTGAGTACCACTAGTGCTACTCGTACCACACTTTGAGAACCACTGCTTTAAACAATCTTAATTCATTTAAATTGTACCGACATTTGCAACTATATGATATTCAGAAAACTCGAACAGAGTGTTATCTTTGAGACTATTATAAGATTTAAATATATATATATAACACACCTAATGCATGGCATTCACATCAGGAAAATGTGGAAAAATCTCTATTAACACATTAACACATAACTTACCAGCAACACAACATTAGATGAGCATCTAACTTTAGCATCTGTGATAAAGCAATACAGAAATACACACACAGGTATTTATCTTCTGCAGGTTACATGTCCTTTACCCATTTGTAAACTCTGGTAACGTTATACTTTACTATTTTTGAAAGGTAATAAAGATAGCGATTTTCTTACCTCATTTTGCCAGTATGTTTGCAGGACCTCGCAGATCACATCTGACCTTCTTGTGTTGACATTCCAGTTTTTGTTCTCCGTCGACATGTCACGACTCAAATTCGCACAAAATAAAAATTTAACAAACAAATATTAAAATAATTCGGGACCGAGCAGTTTCAACTAGCAGCAGCTCACAGTCATCCGCCTCACTCCGAAAGACGATAATAATGGTCATATTTTCAAATTTAGAAAGGCGAAGAACAGTTTCATTGTCCAGTTTCCTGGATGACATGCAGATTAACCAATCATGATCAAAGCAATAAAGTAAAACAACCAATAGGAATTGTTTCAGCGTGGTAACGTATAGAGTAAGCTGAGGCAGGCTGGACTCCGCTTCGTCCACGGTGAAAGTTCCCCCATTGAACATACAGTTGTGTATTCACCCATGTTGCAAGGTATGACGGTGAAACAACATTGCGTTATCAACGTTGATTCAATTTGCAAAATCAATACCTAATTCAACGTTAATCCAACGTCTACATAACGACCATAATTCACCCATGCTGAAGGTAAAACGGTGAAACAACGTCGTGATTTCAACGGTGAAACAACGTCACAATATCAACGTTGATCCAATTTGCAAAATCGAAACATAATCCAACGTTGATTCAACCATGATACCGACCGTTGAAATGCCGGCTGGGAGCATAGACTGTTTTAAAAAGCTTCGAGTAATGAACCTTTTTTCGATACAATTGTGTTAAAAGCTTCGCTGGTTCAGAACGCTTCACTTCGCCATCACTAGCATTTGCAAAATCTTTTAGGCATTATTTTACCTTCATACTGAACTAGGAAGGACACAGCCTCGGTAAGATGCAGCCTTCCGTTTGAGAAGCACCCCCTGTAGTGCCAGCCCAGTACGTGCTAATTGGCGCGCCCCCTCCTGCTGGTCGCACGCTAGGCGACCGCCTATTTTGCCTATGCCTAGAAACGGGCCTGTTCTCCAATATATTAATTTCAATATTTGAAATTAGATTTGGTAGAATGAAAGTATGAAGCTAAAGGATAGTGATCGCACTGTACGATGTCATCATATAGAGAATGTTTTTATTAGCATTGTTTACTTTTTTCCCCTCACATCATCCTGGCCAGCCTGTTCCCACCCCCTTCGGTGACACGATTGACGTTGGTTTCTCTTCTACCAGTTTTATTCTCAAGCTGCTAGCATGCAGTTAGCTTTCCTGATCGAAGAAACTTCTTAAATTAGGCTTCCTTAGCTCACGCGTTGTCTAACGTCCCGAATAAGTCACTTCACAATTGCTTACATAGTTTAAGCGTTTTTAGTGCATGATCGATCTTCTTTGATACATTAACATCGATCTGTTCGATTGCAGGAAATGATTGTTTGTATAAGGGGAACAAGAGCTAGCTAGCTGCGTTAGCATGTCAGATTTTCTCATACGGATATATTTAGCTACATACTGCTATAGCAGTGATCAGTGTGTAATATGCGCTTGACTTTTCTTTAAATACTGAAATTATGATCAGGGTATAAGGGTTTTTGATGTAGGCACATAAAGCATCGGGCTTCGATCCGGTTAGGACAGAGCATTTTTTAAGCAGCCCGCTGTCTGTGAAAAAAAAGCTTCGTCTTTGTGTTGTGGATCCCATAGAAACGCACAGCAGCCGGAGTTCCAAGCAGCACATCAGAGGTAAGGTGACCTCTAACAGGCCTGTTTAACAGCGCAGTGTGGTTATGATCCGGATAACTGCGTCCCTTTTCGGCTCCAGATGTGAGCAACTGTTCACTGAAGCTAAAAATGTTTGCGGGTATCACAGCGAGATGTTGATGTCTCATTATACAACATGATAATGCCGGGGCAAAACACGTTGAAATTAGTATAAGCTATAATCGGTAACTGTACGAGTAAAGTTAAATAGTTGTTTCTTCGACGTTTATCATATATAGAGAGGAATGTGGATGTATGGGTTCATGTGGTGGTGGCATATGAACCCATTAAAGGGGTCATATGACGTTGCTAAAAAGAACATTATGTTGTGTATTTGGTGTAATGCAATGTGTTTATGCGGTTTAAGGTTAAAAAAACACATTATTTTCCACATAATGTACATTATTGTTTCTCCTCTATGCCCCACGATAAGTTTTCCTGTATTTTGACGGCGCGACGGACTTTTATTTTGACAGCGCCTGAGCACTGTGCTCACATTCTCCCTCTTTTTCGCCATCGTCGTTAACAGTTCTGTCTAGGGATGCACCGAAATGAAAATTCTTGGCCGAAGCCGAACAAAATGAAACACTGGGCCAAAGACCGAATACCGAACACGGTTTTTCGCATTTTCCTCCCATTTAGGTATATTTTGCCATTTTTTTTTTTTTACCATTGCTAATATTATGTTAAAGTTTTTCTGTCCCCCTTACAAACGATTATTTATCGCACTGCATAAGAAAGCAAAAAGGACATAATGGACTGTAGAAAAAGTGCTCAAAGATAAAATAGCCTTAAGCTATACTGAATGTGTGAAAAAATAAAAAAAAATAAAAAAAGACCACAAAAAACTGATAATGTAGCTACATATCAATGAGGTAAAACTTTTGATTAATATTTTGCAATAAAAAACTCACATGAGCGTGTGGTATGCAAAAAGTCACTGGACTGTGATCGGATATAATAATATTATGATATTTAGCTGTACAGACCTGGGGCATAAGTTTACCATCCAGAATGAAATCTATTTGTGTATATAGATTATGAGCGTGAGAATGAAAAGAGTATTCCCTAGCTGTCGGATAGAGAATTCTCCACACTCCCTTTGGTTTTTGCCTTATTGTTTGTTCTAGTTTTTCCATTAAATACCTGCACATAGATCCTTGCCTCTGCCTGTTTTCCGCAGCTTCTCCACAATGTTACAGTTTTTCACTGGCATGTCTCTTTGACTAGTGCATCTTTGAGCACACATTTACTTTTTAATCAATTTTCAAATGATTTCAAATTTCTTAAACATTAATTAAAATAAATAAAATTATACCGGCTTTATATCGGCCATCGGCCACCCTGCTTTCCAAGATATCGGCATCGGCTGTCAAAAAAACAATATCGGTCGACCACTACAAACAACAAGCACTACTCTAGTAGATTCGTTTGAATCGTCAGTGGCAAATTCTTTAAATATAAAAAAACGTACTTGCAGGCTGTGAGTCAGAAGCGCCAGACTGTCCTTGCAAAGTTGGAACTGCCCCACTTTATAGAAACAGCCTTTGTGCACAGACGCATTGTAGGCTACTCTGCAGGTTCAGGAAACAGTCCTCCTTAAAATGCGCTGCACACATCTGAATATTTGGTCGTGTCCTCTTTTGGAAGACCAAACAAAGTAGTTTCGCTTTCACAACAGAACACACAGCGTCACACACGGTGGGCTTGAGTAAACGGCGGCCGGCGGGCTTGAGAACGGCACGGCCGGCGGATTCACCGAAGGAGTGGCCGGCGGGCTTGCAGCAACCAGATGTGATGACCCCGGGCTGGACTCCGCTTCGTCCACGGTAAAAGCCGATCCAGCGATCCACAGCGCGAAGTTGATGTATTTCCTCAGCGACCAGCACGGATCAGCTCTAGGCATGACGAAGCGGATATCGTCCTCTTTTGGAAGGCCAAACAAAGTAGTTTCGCTTTCACAACGAA